ACAGTTGTGGACAGTAAGTTTGAACACTTTGGACAATTTTGGACAATTAAATAAATTAAAATTACTCAAAATTTTATTAAGATAACCTATATTATTTTCTAAGTAAAATATGTTTAGCAGCTAAAAAAATATATAATTATATATTTTTTAAACAAATTTATTAATTATTAAAGCTTAGACATGCTCTGGACACTTGTGAACACTTGGACACTTGAACATTGGACAGTGCCAAAAAAGCCTTTGGACAGTCAAAACGTACATCACTGCCTATACTATCACCATAACCTGTTGGTAGATTGAGCAGTTCATAAACAGGATTCGAACGTATGATCCTACAACAGCCACACGACATTACCACTTTACTACAACAGGTAATTGTCTAATTTTTGAAATTTTCTTGTTTAAGATAGTTCTAATTTCTTGTAAAATGTTCAATTAAAGTATAGAATTTCATATGATCAAGTTAGTACAATGCAGAGGTTAAGTATAATATTTATTATTAAGTTTTTGTTAAAGTTTATAAAATATCAAGATAATTTAACATCCACATTAGCAATAGTAGCTATATCAACATCTACAATATGATCTACACTTATCAAAAACAATATAAACGAGAAAGATTACTATATAGACATCCAGAGAAATAAATATTAAATTAATAATAGAGTAATAGTATTAATAATATTAATGATAAAATGTTTATAATTATAGAAAAGAAACAGATAAAAATAATATAATATATAGAGTAATAATAAGGGGAGAGACAGAAATTAGGTGATTTCAAGTTATTAAGAGACTATACCCCCCACCCCCCACCTGATTCAAATACAGTATTAGCCAATTAAATTTAACTACAAACTATAAGACCTGATCGAATCACAAACCCTTTACCCCCCTAAAAAATCAGCTGATTTTTGTCCCTTCCCTAATAATAATAATAATAATAATTAATTATTAGAAAAAATGTATAGATTAAACATTTGGAAGAAGAGAATAAGCAATTGAATAAAAAGGTTAAGGTGATAGAGGATCATAAAGATAGATGGAAACAAAAATGTCAGGTGAGTGAAAATATTTATCAGAGATGTTTGAGAAATTGATGAGAGAAAGAAGAGAAGAAGAGAGATCATTTATAAGCAAGAAAGGTGGTAAATAGAAGAAGAAATATAAGGAGTTGTATAAATGAGTAAAAGATGAAGAGTGGTTAAAGAAGAAAGAAAAAGAGCCAGTTAATCAAAAATGGTATTAGGGTATTCATTTGAAGAAGCAAATTACAAAGTTAAAAGAAGAAAAGAAGGTTTTAAGAAAGGAGTTGCAAAAAGAAATGGAAAAAGATAATTTGTTTTGATGACGAAGAAAAGATGATTAAATAACAAAGAAGGATATTTTGGAGAAGGAGAAGATAGTTTTAGAAAAAGAGAAAGAGATTTTAATTAATGAGAAAAATTTTTAGAAACAAAAAATACAGGAGATATTATGATAATTAAATAATTATTATTTTTTTTTTTTTGGTTCTAAGGTGACCTCTTTGCTATGCTGATCTTTATTCAAATATCAGTAGTATTTTTAACTGTCAGACATATCCTGACAGCTGTATATATTTGTTGGGTACAACTAGCCATACTTGCGCCTTTTGAGCACCTATTTAAGTAGTCTGCCTATCATCAGATTCTATACTAGATGCTGTATCTGCACCCTACTAGGGGGTTACCTATTTAAACCCTCTGCGCCTATGTACTAACCCTTTTATATCCAAGTGATGATACTTAGTACCACCTTATTTTCACATGCTGGCTTAAAGCTTTAAAGCGGTCTCTACCATTTAGGGAGTCCTTTGACCTCGAGATAAACCTGCTAGAGCCTTCCATACCTACATTTAGGCTGACCTAGACTTCGGTAACTTATGCCTAGAACAATAACAAGTACTTGTGAGCCGAAGCTACTACCATTACCTACTTCTACCCTTATAGAATTCACTCTACCCCAGCCCTTACTCATCCAATCAGGAACTCTTCCACTATTTCACCAAACTTCCAATCCAGATAGCCCAGTTTGGTCCACAAGTTACATTACCCACTTTCTTACTAGCTTAACCCAGATACCGGCCTGTGTTCTTTTCTTTTGGTTGATTCCAGCAGCCTGGTTGGTATAGTGCTCGCCAAATATCCAGTCTTCATCCAGATCCACAGCTTATTGGTTCTCTTCTCAGACTTTCCCGAATTATCGAAAGTAGTACCATCTCTCTACTCGGGACTTGCCAAGTGGATTCCTATTCAAGACAAAGTCCAACAGATTTACACAGGTCCCAGTAACTTATCATAGGTTTACACACCTTTTATCAGTTTGTATCTCTTCGTATAACTCCTCTATTACATGAATGTCTCAAGATCTTCCAAGTTTGTACTATCACACTAATTAGGGCTTGCAAGATAAGCTGTCTATTAGACGATCATTACCCCTTGCATCTATTTGGTCTGACTGTCATTACAGGATCTCCATCCCAACACCCAAAATAGTCATCAATGTATAGAAGAATTCGATTTTTCGTTGTTGATAGGAATTAAACTCTGGATGTACTACTTGGAGGGAGACAACTTGACCACTTCACTAAGTCGCCACACCCCTTATAATTAAATAATTATATTATCTAGTTAATTTAATAAATATTAAACAATATATAATTTAATTATAGGGAGAATATAAAGAAAAATATTAAAAAGAAGAGGTTGGAGAAGAAGATAATATGAAGGATATAATAGAGATTGAAGCTGATAGTTCTATAACTATTCGTAATTCAAGTGAAGAAAATGAAAAAGAGAAGTATTATCATAATATAGCAATATTATTAAAAAAAATAATAATAATAATAATATTGCTAATTTAGAACAGAAAATAAGGAAGAAAGAAAAGTTGTTAGAGAAAAAGAGATTTTAGATTTGGATTTTGATGATGAAAATTGGGTGGATTAGCCTGTATTTGTTTTAGATGATAATAATAGAGGTAAAGAGAGTAGTAAAAGTAGAAGGTTTTAAAAGTTGTAAAATAGTTTTTGGTTATAATAAAGTCATTAGTTTTTGTTCATTAAGAAAATTGTAGCGCTATCCTATTACTAGATTTATTTATATTAAAGGTCAATAAAAGTCTAATAAAAATATAAATAAATAAGTGCTTAATGGAATTTAAATTTTATAGCCTCCAAGATACTATAAAGATTTTGCAATAGATCAATAACTGAGGCTGTTCTTTTTGTATTAGCTGGATATAACAAAAATTTGTTTGCTCTGTACAAGGATTATTAGCCACTAAACTTAGAAATATCTTAAGATATAATCAGAAGAAGAAGTACTAATAATCAGGCTGTTAATAGCTATATATGACTTTAAATTCTAATAATATAAAGCTAATACTTTATATTATTTAAAAAAAGAGAAAAACTATATTAATAAAATAATTATAAAGTCTAATAAAATATATATTAACTACAAATAACCCAATAAAATAAAGTTCAATAAAATACAAAAAAATTCAACACAACTCTCCCTGACAATCACTCGAACACAAACAACCAGAGAAAAACAACTGCGAAAACTGAGTAAACCACCTAGGAAACACATCAAGAGGCTTTAAAAAAACAAGAAGAGCAACAAAAATAATCAATAGTTATCTTAAGTCTTGACAAAGTTGTGCTTACAGAAAACAAGTTAATGAAGGAAAACAATTTTTTTTTTTAAATTTTTTCTTCGAAAAAGTGGGTATTGCCAGTAACTTGGAATCGCAGATTATTAAAGTAACACAAACACATAAATCTAAACAAAACAAAGACACGTCCGAAATTAACCAGCAAACACGTGCTAAAATACACAACAACAAATACCACGTGAACTAAAAAGACAAAAAGATAGATTAGATAGATAGAACATTCTAGAATCATAAGTTAATCAGACGAATCAACAGAAGTAGAATTAATAATAGAGATGAAGCATATACATAATATATACAATATAGGGCTACTCAGATATCCAATGAAAGCTGCAGAATTACATCTTAAGTACCTCAATTGTTCATCTTTGCTAGATTGCTTACAAAAGACAAAAGAAAGAGAACCTGATGAAATAGACCGCATAGCTGCATTTTGCATTATGAAGAATTTAGACAAGAATATACTAGAGATGCTGTCTATATTTGGTCAAATACGAGAAGTACTGCTTGAAGCAAAATACAGGCTTTCAGAAAAGGTAGTACAGAAATGACAAGAAAAAGCCAAAATGATCGAACTAAACCCAGGTTCAATTAATTATCTAACAAACATGAGTCAAGAAGAAGTGAAAAAAGAGGAAAATAAGATGGAGATTATAAAAGAACCTGACAATATTGAACCAACAGCAGGAAAAAAGAGACGACAAGAAGAAGAGATATTAGCTAGAGACAAGAAAGAAAATAGTTTAGAAACTGTATAGCAGCAATTGCAAAAATTAGACATAACGACAGACAAACAAAATCAGGTCATTAGTAAACAAGAGGAAGCAATAGTAATACTAGACGAAGAAAGCGAAATAAGAATAGGGATGATAGGAAAAACAGGAAAGAAACCTAGAAGAGATGAAGAAAACAAGAAGAATTATAACGAAGAATGCAAGATGGAAGATATAAGATCATCCAGCCAAGAAATAGTTGAAGAAGACCTGATGTTAACAGCAATCCCATTAAGTCAAAGCATCTGGGCACCAAGCAGACGTCCATGCAGCAACACAGGCAACTATAAAGCAAATATACTAGCCTATAATGTGCCAGGAGAGAATAAAGAACAACGTATTAGAATGGTAAAAGGGATGCTGGCAGGCAACAACCACGTTAAAGAAGTTAAAGAAGTTTTTAAGAACTATAACAAGTGGATAGAAGTTACTTTCGACTGTGAAGCAGGAAGAAAAGAAGCAATAGACAAGATAGAGAAGAAAAGC